GTTCAGGGTTCAGGGTTTAGGTTAGGGTTGCCAGGCTCGGGCCTGATGGCTTTTGAAGCTTTATAGGGCTTAAGGTTTAGGGTCTAGGGTTTAGGGGTTTAGGGTTTAGGGTTTAGGGGTTTAGGGTTTAGGGTTTAGGGTCTGCCTTTAGGGGGTGCAAGGGTTTGAAATTAGGGTGCGGTGTACGGCTTTGTGGCTTGCACTTGCACGGCATTTCGGGCTGGTAGTGTGCACGCTTTTGCTGGTTGGTCGGGTTTGCAGGGTTTGCTTGCGATGTCGGTTGCTTTGAGTGGTGTAAACTGTCAAAAATCATGCTTGCCGCTTCGAGCGCACATGGTTACAGTTTGGAGCCTGACCCCTCTGGTTTAAGTCCTGTAACCGTATATTATAAGTTATAAAAGACGTGAAACGCTTGGGTTCCGTTTTTAGGGGCTTCGCGGTTCGGGTATTTTGCCTCCTACAGGGTTTAGGGTATGGGCTTCGGATGAAGTGAGATTGATGTGAACAGAATTTCAAGTACCATCCCTCGAAATCCTGACAAGCACTGCCAGGTGCCTGAGAGAGTCACGCAGAGGATGAGGGCATAAATGCCACCTTGGATCGAGCCCTGAGGCCTGATCCCTTAGACCTTAGAGCCGTACTGAAACCTGAAACCCTCAACACTAAACCTGAAACCCTAAACCCTACCTGAATCCTAAACAACCCGCCTTTCTAGTCTAGGGCGCCTCATCATGGCTTCCCTAAGAAACAATAACGTTTTAAACCCAAGGCCCTGAAGTCATACCCATAACCCTAGGGCTGGCCTTTGGCATGGACCCCCCGGGCCTCTTGGGTATGAGGTTGAAGGCTCAGACATCGAGTAACACCTCATGACCGGTCTATGCCTTAACGTTTGATAAAAGTAGAGAAGGGACTGCCCCGGACCAAGATAAAGGGCTTGAGGTTCAGGGTGTGGGTATTACGTTTCGGAGTTGAGGGCTCTAACCTGCTTTAGACGCAGAGCCGGACAAGAGACGAACACCCCTAAACCCTAAACCCTAAATCCTAAATCCTAAACCCTAAACCCTAAACCCTAAATCCTAAACCCTAAACCCTAAATCCTAAACCACCACTGTCAGGTCCTTGGGCTCCAAAGTTGTGGACTCTGCTAAGGTTGAAGTGTAAAGCTTGCTCATAACCTCTGGGCTCTTCGAGACAACCATTTTTACTCATGAAGCCCTAAACCCTAAACACCTATGTTGCCCAGGCTCCCTTTGGGTTTAGAAGGACGTTCTCAGTCTCAGCCCTTCGTCCTAGGATTTGGGCACGTGGACTCTGTCTCATCGCGCCCAGCAGCCTGCAAGCATGGAGGACAACGCATTTGGCACAAAACGGGCGACAGAACTACCTGGAGCCACGTGGGCTGCGATGTTCGGAGGGCAAAACCCCGAACCTTCCAAACAACCAGCCCCTACAAATAACCATAAGCCGGCACGCAACTCTCTAGTTACTCTATTTCAATCGGAAGCTGGCATGTGGCAGTTTAGCGGTTTTTGGGCCGTGAATTCGGTAGTCGTCTAGGTTATCTCTGCCGTCACACGGGCCGCCGCGAGGGTTTATGCGATTCAGGGCTGCTTATTGCAGGTTGGAGTGTAAGATTTGACTGTTTTCGAATTTTCTTTGTCGGAGTGATGGCTGGAAGCCACTTTTGTAGCGGCTCCTGCATGCAGCAGAGCGAGCGTCCGTGAGATGAACGACCACTAAGCCCGCAATTAACCACCAAACCCTAAACCCTAAACCCTAAACCCTAAACCCTAAACCCTAAACCCTAAACCACCAATGACCCCAAAACCGCCTGACTTCTTTGCCTGAGCCCAGGCTCTTCGGTTTAGGGCTTAGGGTTTCTTCGCTCCCTGAAAAGTACCCATATCCTTTTTGGGGTTCATACTTAGAATCCTATAAGGTAATCCCAAAAAGGAACTACGATGGGGCCTATGGGTAACTCTAAACCCTAAACCCTAAACCCTAAACCCCTAAACCCTAAACCCCTAAACCCCTAGACCCCTAAACCCCAAACTCTAAACCCTAAACCCTGCTTAGACATCCTTGAGGCTACACTGAGAAAAGTTCACGCTCTCGGACCCATCCGGGAGTCTCCCGATGTAAACAGTTGGGAGTTGTTCCAAACCCAAGGGTTGAGGGTTTCAGGGTTTAGGGTTTAGAGTTTAGGGTTGAGGGTTTCAGGGTTTAGGGTTTAGAGTTTAGGGTTGAGGGTTTCAGGGTTTAGGGTTTGGGGTTTAGGGTTTCTGGGTTTCGACTCTCACACTCGCACAAGGCTGGCAAGGCTCCGCATAGTTCTGTCTCCACTCCACTACGCTACAACCCGGAGGCTCGGCAACCGCTTAGGGTTAGGGTTTAGGGTTTAGGGTTTAGGGTTTAGGGTTTAGGGTTTAGGGTTTAGGGTTGAGGGTTTAGGGTTTAGGGTTTAGGGTTGAGGGTTTCAGGCATCTAACCCATCTGACGCGGACCTTACAGGCCAAGAACCTGCACTGGGCCTCTCAAACTTGGATTTGGATCGCCCCCCCGAGTCTCCCACAGGGAGAAGCAGGAAATAGCAAGGCAACGCGATTTCGCCCGTCTCAGGACGGCCCAGGTCCCTTCTCATCGCACGGAGCTTGACGGCTACGATTTGCAGAGGCTTAGAGCAAAGGCCAGAGTCAACAACAAACAACCCTTTCTGAATGAGGTCTCTCTGAAGTGCCTCTAGCAGTATGATTTCATCGATCTCTCTGGCTTTTCAAACAACCCTAAACCCTGAACCCTAAACCCCAAAGCCTGATTTCGTGACCTCTGTTTTTAACCCGAAACTCTCCACGGAAAGCCCGGGACCTCGGCTATATGCAGGCTGGCAGAGGCTTCAGGCAGGGCTCAGCCCATGCATGAATCAAATTACGGCTCAAAGCTCAAAGGGTTTAGGCTTCAGGGCAATTAAGGTTGCATAGCAGCAGTAAGCCGGAACTCCACTGTGCGGCATCAGCTGCGCAAAGACGCAAGTTCTTCAGTACCCTAATAAGAGCTTCCGGGGTGAACCCTAAACCCTAAGTAAACCCTAACAATGGATGTGTGTGTGTGTGTGTTTGCAACCGTGGTTGTTCTGAACCTGTTGGCTGCCTCAATGCCATCCTTTCTGCACGATCCTGCTAGAGTAGAGCCTGGCACTAAGTCCTTTTTGGGACTATTGATGCTGCTTTTTGGAGTGTTGTTTCCATCCGGCTTAGTCAGATTTTGAACTTCACCACGCCGGCGTAGCTTTGGTATCCGAAGCACTGCAAACCTGCACTTTACGGTTTCAATTTGTGTGAACTCTAGCCCTGAAGTCACGAACCACAGTGCTCGGAGCATCCGTAGCCTCAAATGAGACGCGGCGTGTCCGGGCAAAGCTTCCAGCCGGTGTCCTCACATGAGAAGTTTTAGGGTTTGGGTTTCGGGTTTCGGCCCACTCCCTCGCCTCGCCGGGAGGGGTTCGAGCAGTTCCAGATGCACAGAGGGATGTCTTTCTTTGGATTCTTTCTCACCAGCTATCCATCCGCAAGAACGGGGGCCTCAAGGCGAAATGCGAGCCGCACATGTGGAGAATCCCTTCGTGGGATGGCATAAACATTGCATACACCAACAAAAAAGCACACCAAACCCTGTCAATAAATACCTTCGATATGCCAACAGAAATTACACAACATAAACTTATGAAAAGCCATGAACATGCAGTGAACGCCTTCAACAAGGGCATGAACAAAAAATCCTACAAATCCAAAGCCCTTTCTACACTTTGTCACACCGCATTTGAAGCCCAGGCCCCACCTGTAGGGTACCGTCGGAGAGCCAAAAGATATCCTTGGGAGGCTGTTTAGGGTTTAGGGTTTAGGGTTTTCGTCTGTTTGTGTCATAGGGTTGAGTTGTCGTGACAGGCTAGGGTTCGGGCTTCGGCGCTTCCTTTATGTGTAAGTCTTCGAGAAATCGGTTAAAAGTATTTGTGCAGCATTTTTTGGCTCTCATTCTTGCGAAGGTTCAGGATGCAGAACTCATGCTTCCTATACTTCGGGGCATACTCATCGAGTCTCGTTTAAAGGTTGTAGGGGTTCATACAGGACCTACCACGTTTCCACAACCTACTATGAAGCCCTAGTCTGCAGTTAATAAAATGCGTTCTGACCCATAGCAGGCGGCAGAAGCCCGAGTCAAATACCCTGCTAAAGGCAGCGGTGTACTGCCGTGAGTTTGCCAACAAGCATTAACTTGGCCTCGTGGAGCCATCTTGGCAAGACTGATGGTGTACTCCACCCTAAGGCCTGTGAGGCAAACCGCCAAAACATCCGACCTTTGAACCCAGAGCCTTTTCGGGGTCAGGCGGCTGCGTTCGGCACGATGCCTTGGGGCCCTTGCCTCCGTAAGAGGTTACCGCGCGAAAGGTCGAAAGCTTGGGGATTTCAGATCTGTGGGTGCAGATAGCTTGGGGGATTGGGGGCTTAATTGGCTGTAAAATGAGGAGACCCAATGGTGTGTGAGCAACTTTATACTTTCTGAACTATGCAATCAAGAAGACGAGAGTGGCATTGCAAGGCACGAGAACAGGCGAAGGCGTGCCCAAAAGTGAACTGTTTCGCAGTATGCATACATATGGGCATCGTCTCTTAAACCGATCGTGAGTGGTATACTTGCTTCGATGCCCGATCCTTCAAGGCAGGCTGTGGGTTTGAACTTCCCCATGGAAGCCAAGAGCGAGGTTTGACACTGCCATCAGCAAAGCCAAGACTACTGTTGCCGAGACAAAGAGATCCCAAGTGAGAGAGCCAGTGCCACGCGTCAAGAACAACGACCCAACAGATCCTGAAACAGCTTTGTGACAATCGTGCGTTTACCCTAACGACCCCGCCAAGACACCTTCCGGAGTAAGGAACGCAATTGACCTGGCTCGGGCGACACAACTTGGAGCTGCTGCTGCTGCTGCTGCTTCAACTTTTCCCCGGCTGTCGCCATAATTCTAGATTTTCGAGTTTCCATGTGCTCTTTTGCTCCCTGCTGAACGACCTGGGCTGCAGGACTGCAAGACGCTTGCGGCTTCTGCCGCTTCATCTACAACCCGTCTGTGTTCGCCTGCTTTTTCGTTTCATACGCCGACGATGGGGACGACACCGGGGGACGGTATGCTATGTTAGGATCCTGCTCCCCGAGTGATAAAGCTTGGGGCTCGGGCAACCGAGCCTATCTCACCAAACAAGCCGCAGAAGGAGCATGCGTCAGTTCTTGTGGTCCGCCATCTTACGCGGACCCCTGAGAAGCCCTTCTTAGCGCGGACAACAACTTCTCCCATACACGTAGGCAAGGGGCAAACCCACGAGCAACAGCTCCCCGAAACCTGTAAGTCTGAGGCTGCTAGGACTTAGGAGGTCTGAAAGGCACCAGGATGCGCTAGGTTTAGATTTGAACGGTCTCGTTTTCCAGACGCTGAATCTCCCAATGCAAGCTGACAAGTAAACATGTCAAGCCCTGAGCTCAACCTCATAAACCCTGGCCCTAATGCCTCCAGCTGGACTACAAGCAGCCCAATACTGGCAAACAAGAACAATAAATCGAAAAACCGAACACTAACAAAAGCGATGACTACGACTGCCAGTAACAGTAACAACAAATGAATAACAGCAATAGCAGTTTCATTATCAAGCACCGTGACAACAAGAATAAAGACCAGTAATTAGTCGTACGAATAAGAATAACCACGCAAAGCTAATCTTAAGAAGAAGCAGTCAGACTCGTACCAAGTGCATCCCGGGGCCTCCAGATGGTCGTAGGGCCCTTCCGTCGCGAATGATTGCACACGAATCGGCAGAGCTGCGGAGACATTCACGGCAATCCTGCAGGCTTTGTCAAGCAATAAGCTCCAGTCCAAAAGCTCAACGTCGCAATCACCGCAGCCCTGTGCGGCCCTAGAGCCTGAACAGTTGCAAGCGCAGATAGTAACTAACCCGGAATCCCCAACCCCAACATCTCCGCAACTTACCCAAACCCCCCAGGTACCTACTATATAGGGTACTAGAGCCCCTAGGGCCCTCTATAGTAGGTACTTGGGGGGCTAGGGTTATGCAACCCAAAATCCAAGCCCTTGCAACCTCAGCCCGAAACTCTTCAACTCTCGGGAGAGTGCAAACCCGCAAGACCTAGAGGTCCAACCAAACAGCGAAGCTTCAAGTACCCAGGATGCCTACCTTTGAACACAACACCAGCCCTATCGTGATTTTTAGCAGCCCCATCTGAACCTTACAAACCGTCAGTGAACCTATAGAGCCCAGTTCTACTTGACATTGATAAAGGCCCCTAGATTTTAAAACAGTGTAAGGCCCTATATACGGAACCCTATGAAACCGCTGCTAACACCAGTTTAACCGTTGTATCAACCTACCGGGCTCCTGCACTTCTCCAAGCTCTGGTATTGGCTCGGGAAGCCGGAACTATGGATGCAGCCGTCCTGGCGGCTGTAGGTTGGGCTTTGGGTGAAGCTGCAAGATAGTGTGAAGCCCTTCCACTTTGGGTTGTTCCTTGCGATTGCGCGCGTGGATTAAGGCTCTTCGGTTTAGGGGATCATCTCGAAGGTTTGACCTGTAGACTCGCTCCTGGTCGATGCCGCAGGGGCCAGCCACCACTGCCCACATGTGCCCTGACCAGTTTGAAGGGCTTCGGGCTTTAAAGCTTAGGGGGCTCAAGGTTGGGGGGTGTTGGATTTCGGGATGAAACACGAGTCTAGGCCCGAGGTCGCACCTTGGAACAAACACAGAGAACCACCAAATCCCAACCTTCGGAAGTCTCGAAGACCGCAAAGAGGCCTTACGCAGTAAGGCTCTGGGAAACAGACCCCGAACCTCCAACCCCACATTTCGCGCCACTAAAACTGTGCGCGCTGTGTATTGCAACAGTAGCCTAAGTCTTCTGCCTAGTGATGTTATATACCAGTCATACTAACCTGAGGAAGAGGGTTGCGTCGTAGAATTCGTCTAAGTCCCTAGGCCCCAAACTCTTTAGACTTAAAGGAACCCTTAGGGAGGGAACCCTTTACAGGAACCTTTATAGACATAGCTGCCTTTGAAGTCAACTTCTGGTCGGCCCCGGTCAGGACTCCTCAGTCGGCCGGCCAGAACGTCGCGGATCCAGTCCTCTGGCAACCAGAGAATGGTCCCTAACCCCCCAGGTACCTACTATATAGGGCCTTAGGGGCTCTAGTACCCTATATAGTAGGTACCTGGGGGGTTAGGGGGTTTAGGCTTGATTTAAGGTGAGAAGCGGTGCATGCTTTTTTGAAGGGCTTGGACGGCTCCGGTATAGGGTGTACAGGATTTCGGTGCTAGCCTGTCAACAAAGGCTTTCGGTTGCAATAGGGCTTCTGCAAGGTGGTTGCAGGTCCCTGAAACTTATAGGGTTTCTTACACAGGGGGCTAAAAGGCTTTGGGGTGCATAGTAAGGGCTTTAGAAGTGTTTTAAATTTCCATACAGGCCTTCACTTCTATCGGAACGGTTATCAATGATTTCTAAGGCTCTATAAGATGTAAAGTCCAAGGGCTCGATATGGGTTCTATGAGGTCCTGAGGTTCCCCTAAGAGCGCTGTACAGGTTTCGGTTCCTTTAAGGCTTCCGCAGGGGAACTATGAAGGCTTGGCGCTGTGCAGGCCCCTTTCCGGGCTGTGTCATGGTGCTATACGAGAGACTTTGAAGGCTTCAGAAGGCTTCGCTGTGGGTTTTCTGCACTGCAGGGGCTGTTCTAAGGGCTTGTATCGGCTTGATAAGGGTTTGAGGCTTCCAGTCTTGGGCTTGGAAGGACTTTTGGGCTTAGATGGCTTCGAGGGTGGGTTGAGGGTTGCGGGTGGGTGTTTCTCAGTTTGGGGCAGAAGTGTCACGCGGAGGCAGCAAGGGTCAGGAGTGAAAACCGGAAGCATCGAAATTTCCAAAAACCCTTGGCCACCCCGTCATCCCTACACCAGACCGTAAAGCTACATAAAGTCCTACCGTATAAGTTCTCCAGAACCATAGAAGCCTGCAGCCTGGGTCTCGGGGTCCTACGGCCTAACGCCTTGATACCCTCAACAAAGCCAAAACCGAACACCCTGCCCTGACGCCCGACACTCTAAAGCACCCGAGACGAAGCCAAGATGCCAAGCCAGCCGTCACGCGAGAGTAGACCCCTGGGTAGTGCGCGTCACCGCATCCCAGACCTGGTAACAGCCACAAGGAGTGCCCCATGTTTCTCTTAAACCCGTGCTTCTGTACATCATAGATTCCTTCAGCCTCGCCCTCCATCCCCAATCCTGCCAACAACAACAGTTTGCCTTAAATATCAAAAAATTGACATTAAACAAGTCCGAATCCGAAGACCTGAACCCAAATGCGCTCCACCTAGACCCTCCTTTCTGGTTTCTTGATCTCTGGATCCTGGCCTCAGACCGGTCAACCGAAACTCCCCTCGCCCTAAGCAACAATCCGGCAGTCCCGAAGACTCCACTCGTAAACATGAAACCCCGATTGAGCATGACCCCAAGTTTCGGCGCAAGATCGTTCTCCTGCGAAGTTTCGACCTGTTCTGCTATAGCTGCAAGCTCTGTAGCATACGCGTCCACCGCCGCAGCCTCAACCACAACCTGCGTCCTTTTGAAGCAAACAGTGAAGTTTGACAATTTGAGCTGCGAAAGTAAGATAATATAGATCTCCTCGATCTTCCGATATTCCATCAACCCTTAGCCTCATACTGTTGCAGCCATAGCGCCCCAAGAGGTCACCCCGACAACGACAAATCGATCGCGGTGCAAACAGACCTTGCTTCGAGATAGGGCCTTGGGGCTATTTAAGGTGTTGATCCATAGGGTTTAGGAACGACAACCCGCAATTTCGAATACTCGAACGACAAACTGGCTGCACATCTCAAGCGCCGAAAGGAAGAGAGTAAATCCTGGAGGCCTCGTTTGTCGGATCTCGGAGCATTCCCCCATCATGTTGGCTCGACGGAATCGGATCCATCGGGGTTTCGGCGGTCACACTCGATCCAGGCATGGGGGGTTTAGGGTTTAGGGTGCCCAAGTCCATGTGCTGCCCTTCTGACCCTGCAGTAACCGTACATTTTCAACAGCGGAAAGCTGGTTGAAGGTCGCTTTCCTTCTCCCGTTCTGCAAGACAGATGCTCGACTCAACATTCTGAAATGGCTTGACAAGGCCCACCCATCGCATTATGCGTGGAAGGAGCAAGTGGGCCACCGCTATCTCCTTGGCATGCATCCACAACTCCTGCCCGGCACTTGAAGTCTTGATTCAGCACTTTCAAACCCGTAATGCAGAAGCTGTCGGGAGCATACACCGGGCCACTTCTGGACGTTCTCCGGCAGACAGTCCACATATCAAGTGTTAAGAAGGTTGGGAGTTGCTAGAGGTGCAAGTCAAGTCGTATGCATCGCGACAGGGGGAATTCGGGAAGCCCCGCTCCAGGACCTTGCCTGAAAATATGATGCACCAGACAAGGCAGTTGCCAAGCTTCTCGACGTTTATCGTCGTCTGCGATCATTCGCAGGAGTCCAAGCCCAAAGACTGATCCAGACGAGATAAGACAACACAAGTGCCAAAGGCTCAACACACTGCTATACAGCCGCTTGGATGCCTGTCCTCCCCCAGATGTGCCAGCAGCACAAATCATGGAGTTCGTGACCGTCCTTCCCGGTGGAAAGCCCAATCATACAACATGCCAGTCTTTGGTGCCGAGCTTGCACAACAGGTTCAGGGTTTGTAGGCGTGTTGACGACCATCAAACCAATCTGCTGGTGTTTGGACTGCAAACCTTTCACGGAACGAATAGGACAACTGCTGTGACAAGGGCTCCGTCATCTTTAAAGATCGATAAGCCATGTAAGCTCATAAGCCCTAACCCCTGAGGCCTTAAGTCCTCAACCCTATAAAAAGAGCAACACTGGAATCCCAAGTGGTCATCACTGCTACACGACACGCCCGATCCCTTTACACAGCATCCGCCAAGTCCTGTTGGCTTTCGCGTAATTCGCCTCACCTTCAGTGCATGTCACGCGGCCCCAGGGCTCACGTCAGGTCTTAGGGCTGTTGGGTTTTCTTTCTGACGCTCGCACTCGGACAAAGCCTGGCAAGGTCTGCAGCGATACGGTCATAACACATTCACTACACGTCCAATCTGCATCAGGGATCGGGTTTACGGGTTTAGGGTTCTCTTTATGCTTCGGGGGGAGGACAGTGTGAGGACGGCATGCAAGAAACTTCCGTTCTGGGGCCCCGGGAACTTCGTAAGTTCGTAAGCTAAGTCGGTACATGCTTTGCAAGCCCATACGCCCTAAGCCCTAAACATATATGTACAGACATATTTCTACATATATAGTATATATGTATACACATGCATATGTATACACATACGCACATACTTGACAGAGTCAACTCTCAGCAGCTTGGACGTATGAGACTTAATCAAACTTTGAGTGGAGCAGTACAGCTATAAATTAGCATGGAGAACTGCATTGTATGTGCATTAGCCCCATGACTCTGGAAAGGGCCCCTACCGGTTTTCTGATCCTTAAACAGCTTCTTGCATTCTGCGACGGTTCATTAAATCTTCACCCCTTTCGGCTTCACTGCATTCTTGTCTTCGGTCTTCTGGTCATTCTTGCCTGCCTTTAGTCGATCAAGTAAAAAGAACAGTATTCCAATCCACTTGTGGTCAGTTGCTTCGCAAGGCTTCTTGCATCTCTTAACCGTGCTATGCAATAGCAATTGTGGATACTACTCAGAATCTACACATCTCGCCAAGCGCTTAAAGGGACATTTAGATATGAACACTAAAATGCATTGGTTCAACAGAAACTCTCGGAGCTATATGAGAACGTCCCTGCGCTTGAGCGCTTTGTTGGCTCCTTACCCGTACTCTGAGCGAGCTCCGATATGAGCTGAGCCAGTTCAGTTTGTTGAAACAGCCGAGGGGAGAGATTATCGTATGCACTATCATGGAGTTGCTGTTTTTGTTCTTGGCGGTACTGCTTGTGCTGGTGATGGTGCTGGTGCCGGTGCGGGTGCCGGTGCTGGCACCAGGTACTGGTGCTGGTGCTGCTTGTGCTGCTGGTGGTGGTTGCGGTGGCGGCGGTGGTCGTGTAGATGCTGTTGCAGCACCAGGCTGCTGCTGCATTTTCTCAAGAGAACACAGGGAGCAACTTCCAATCTTCTTGGTCCATTGCAACAGCTTGCAGCATGTCGGAACACCGGGTTTCTGACCAGACAGTTCAAGGAAAGAGCCGAACACCTCAGAGATCTATACATTCTATTCTTACCCGTGGGAACAAGCACAAAATACTATTGAAAGCTGCTGGCAACGGTCGTGCGCGACGGTGGTCACGACGGCTTGCTGGAGGATGCTGGGCATGTCACCCCCCGACTGCTGCATGCCTCGGATTTTCGTTTCGTTGCATATGCGCTATAGACTCTACATCTGTGGGGTTCTATCATCCGCAAAAGACCCTGGGGTTTGGGTGACAGGGTGTTCGTGCATCAGCGTTCTAGAAACATCTGTCTGTAGGGTCGTTCCTACGAGCAAGGAATATGGTGCTACGGTGCTACTGAAAATCTGGCTGTGCTACTAGTGCTGCTGTGTCTGGACACCCTTACTTGTGAATTTGATGAATATTTCAAAGGAGCCTCTCTCGAACAAAAGAGGTTTAGCCTTGGGTGTAGCGCTTAGGGTTTCGAGGGGGTTAGGGTTGTGGCTTTGCTTGCACTGATACAGCTTAATTAAAACCTATCAGGGCATTGCACCCCAAGTGGTAGCTAGAAAACGCATTTTTAGATGCAGGCCTTCGGGATTTCTTTCTTTGGTAAAGGACTTGGACAGAGGCCAGGATCGTTGCGCTGCTGTGCCTGTCAACACACGTATATATATATATATATACATACATACATACATGCATACATATAAACACATATGTACACATATCACGCACATATGTATACATATACATATATATATATATATGACTGAAGTCGAAGGCCTGTAATTTCGGATCTGTCTCCGGTTGGAATCATGATAGCCCTAAGCCCTATTGATCCTAGCACAACAGCCGGAAGCATAAATCATTGACACAGCAGCCCTAAACCCTAAATCATAAACCCTGGTTGAAGTCTTGCTGGGCTTGCCGTAAGGGGCCTTGATGATTAGAATAGGGCTTTGGGGTATATTACACTATGACGAACTGTAAGAACAACCCTAAGGAACAGTATAAGCCGTGTTTAAGACCTGCATGTCAGGGGTTTGGGGGGTCCTTCCAAATTTTTCGAAGGAGCTCCAACAGTTCGCAAGGGGTAACTACACTTCGAACTTTGCTGGGAGTGGTGAAGTCGCCATCCATTGCCTCTGGAGATGGTGTCTCTATGGGGTTTAAGGCTTGAAGGGCTTGAGGGCTTAGTTCTGGTTCTGGACCAGAGCTGACATGGCAATGGACATGTAAAGCCGAGGCAGGAGGTTACTTTCCTTGCCCGCCTCAAGCCCGGTTTCGCCAAAACTCACCCGCACAGTGAGAGTGTAGGGTGTCCAAAGCAAGGTCTGCCCTGCTGCCCCAGCCAGTGATCTCGCACATGCTCCCGACACCCTGGCAAGCACAGTGCAGCCGAGTAATGTGGCTCGGGGTCTCGGATTTCAACGCATCCACAAAGCCGAAAGAACTAATGCAGAAACACTCATGCCAGGGGATCAGAACCTGAGTGAAACCTGTAGCCAAGTCGACGCCCAAGGGTCCTACAAGCGACGGGCTCACACAGCAAACACGTCTGTGAACCAGGGGGGAAGCTCTTTTCGGATGAGGGTTACTGAAAGGGTTCTATGATTTAAGGGATTCAATGTTCAGTATAGGGCTTTAAGTTTTAGGGTATGTTATAGCCATTGAACATTCCAAGAAATGGTCGCAAGGCCTCGAAGTCGTCACTCGGCAGGCAAGCAGGTCCAATGCAGCTGGTCTCTGGTACAGGTCGATCCAGTTGAAGTAACCTGGAAATGGGTTAGGGGTTTAGGGTTTAGGGTTTAGAGTTCAGGGTTTTGCGAGTTTGAAACATGTTCTGCAGAAGCTTTTGGGTTTGTCAGAGCGTTTAGAGTTGAGGGCTGAAGACAGGCCACAGCATGATACCCATACTCGAAACTGCACAACTTAGGACAACAAGCACGACAGCCGGACAACATGTAGGAACCTGACTCAGGAAGAACGGGTCCCGAAACTTAAGATCCCAGGAACAACCCGGTGCCAAGTCTTCCCATCTTTCACATGCATGCTTGGTGCAGTAGATCACAGCCAGAGAAAGAAGGCTGACGATATCTACAGACCATCCAGGTCCCGCCGTCGGTTTACGAAACTCAGATTCAGCCTTGCCATCGGAGCTCGCATGATGGCAGAGCTTTCGAAAGGGCGATCTGCGACAAATGTGCCTATGCTGACCTTTCTATGGGAACCCCGTACAACAGATCATAGGAAGTAACGTCGGACTTTGGCTCAGAGACGGGGCTCGCAAGCTTGGAGTAACTTAGAATCCCAGATACACAGACAGAGCCCACCCTGTCATCACGGCGAGCCAGACGGTACTTTTAACATGGTTGAGGATCTCACTTCTGTGCTGAATCTCTTTCTGGTTCGCACTTCTTTTATACATGGGCGGTGCAAACCTCCCTCTATGGTTGCAGGGATTGGACTTGTGAACATGTCCAGCTAACATCCAAGGCCATAACTTCGACTCAAGCCCAGATCAGCACTGTAAAATCTAAACCTTCCAAGTCCTAAGCTCTTGACCTGTACAAGAAACAGGGCACCATACACTCTCATTTCCAAACCCCCTAAGCCCAAGCCCACCAGAAAACCAGACCTTCAATCGCAACTTGCTTGTGCAAAAGTTCAATGAACCCTGCAATCTAAGTTCATTTTGCACAGGAACGCGAAATCGCTGTCAAACGGGGTCTCTTGGCTGAACGCAGGATGCGCAAAGACCTGTCGACTGCTTTTTGTTCTGAGGATTTGGGCTTTAGGGTCTTAGGCTTAGTTTAGGGTTCAAGGTACAGCGTTGGCAGTATGGGTTTAGAGCTAAGGCTTAGGGCACAGCGAAGTTTACTCTATGGGCTTAGGATGACTTATGTGCTGTGTGACCCCAATGACTTGACGTTATGGCTCGACCGCGGTCGCCTGGGTCTGCTGCAGTGTTTATTTTTATGACCCGATAACTTGACGTTATGGCTAGACCGCCGTGCCCTCGGTCTGCGGCAGTGTTTTTTTTTTGGTGAGTGGTCAAGGCATAAGCATGATTCTCTACTTCCACTGCGGGCCCCAATGAAGATCGCAGACCAGCACTGCGCAAGCAACCTTGGGGACAAATCATAGCCTCGATGTTGAAGCTACTCCCAAGACCTGCTTCGAGATGGCGCACATCCCACCTGCCATTCCGTGAAGCTACTAGCCGAACCGCCCTAACCCTACGAGCAAAAAGGCAGTCCCCAAACCCACGTCCCAAAGAAAGGCTAAAGCTCTTGCTGTGGAAACTTGTAAAGGAGGCCAGTTTACTCAGTTTAAGTTACAACCCTTGCAGAAACACCCCTAAACCCCAAGCCCACAGCCCAAACCCCTGAACGACCACCCCCCGCCCCCCAACCCCCTTCACCCCCAGCCCCCCATCCCAAGCCCAGCTGCCTGCGAGACGCCCCGCACCTCCGAGGTCTCGGCTGCTGGTTTGACATGCGTGTCTTGCTGCCAGCCGCCGGCGACAACCTTTGAGGATAAGGGTTTCCAGGGTGTTCTGGCTCAGGATCGGCTATGGCTTGGGAAGTTTTGTTTATGCATTTGCGGGTGTAGAGTTTGCGGCATTAGGTTCCCAGTTGTCGCCCCTTACGGCTCCTCATCCCAAAGGCTCCTTGCAGCTACGCAGTATATATCTTAATGGGTTTCCTAGTTCCCTATACCCCGGGATGCTCCAAGCATGCACATGACATAGTACCTACTTTGGAGTCTAAATTCTACGACTTCGAGCAATTTAGAGCCCGAGGGTAGATCTGGTCAACACACAGGTTTGCTCTCCTGAGTTTGCTTGACAGGCTTTTGATGAGTTTCGCAAAATCTTCTGATGCATCTGAATCCACATGGCCTGCCGTTGCCTCGCAACCTTGCTCTGGCAGTGTCAGATGCCGACCCATGCAGCCAAAGACACACTACTGGAACCAGCCCCACCGCCAAAGCTCTAAACCCTTTCATAAGCTAAAAACCACCATAAAAACCCACAGCTGCTCTACAGCATCCTAAAACCCTAAACTGCCCGAATATCGCATCCTAGAGCCCTCAACTACCGCAAAAGTCACAAACCCTTACAAGCCTTGCATTACAGCTCCACAAGTCCTGAAGCCCACGTTCAAGTAGCCAATATTACTTGCATTTACATGCCCCCTACACACAAAAAAACAAATCTTACAGCTCGACTATCCCAAACCCAACATGTACTTGTACTCTGCTAGCAAACATAAAGGATACTTTCATTTAGGTACACTGTGAGAATTGCCCCAAGACCCATGTATGAAGGCCCCTACGTTAATTTGGGCCCTTAGAGCACCTGGTCGAGTGGATGGCAACACGCGAGAGCTGGGCAAACCGACCACCCCTAAACCCTAAAACCCCCAAATCCTAAACTTTAAACCCCTACACCCTAAACCCCTAAACCCCTAAACCCTAAACCCTAAACTTTAAGCCCCTACACCCCAAACCCCCTAAACCCTAAACCCCTAAACCCTAAACCCCCTAGGCCCTAAACCCCCTAAACTTAAACCCCTAAACCCTAAAGCCCTAAACCCCCTAAACCCAAAACGAAGCACCTGGAGCTTGGAGAGCTTGCAGTCATCAAGGAAGGCCGCGCAGTGCGCCGCAGTGAGGACCCATCTCAGAGGTCGTTGACTTCGGGCACGTTAGGGTTTAGGGTTTAGGGTTAAGGGTTCAGGGTTTAGGGTTTAGGGCTTTCGGGTTTAGGGTTTAGGGTTTTCTTGGGTGCTGCTGCATTTTGTCTTAGGGCTCCAGTTGCCCAAACAGAATTCTGGCCAGATGTACCATCTAACCCCGTACCCCATTATCTAGATAACTGGAGCCCTAGTCCTTTTAGCATTTGATGCGGTTTTGGTTTAGGACATGTTCCACAAGCCGGGTCCTCCAGCTCCTGCGATTTCGCGCTGAGGGTTGACGGGTTTGGCGGCCTAGGGCTTTCTTAATTATTTAAGGCTTTGGGGATTCAGTGCTGAGGGTTTGCAAGGGTTTCGGGGTGGGTTTTCGGATTTAGGACTTAAACCTAAGAGCAACAGAGCCTGAAACCATGACAAGATTCAGGATGCGGCATGGTCCCTAAACCACCAACTTGAAAACCCCCCAACCCCAAACAATCCTATGTAGATCCTACAATCCTACAAGTCTCCACTCTGAATGTTCGATCCTGCAGATCCGCCGCCGAAATCCGGAACTCTACTGTACCGGGACAAGTGTTTGGGGATTTCTTAAACGGTTTAGGGTTTAGGGCTTTATAGGGTTTAGGGCTTTAGGGTTTAGGGTTTAGGAAATCCCTGTCGCAACCATCAACCGCTATAATTACTCAGGGCTTCTACAGCGACTTGGGAGTCGCTGCTGCTCAGCGCTTGCCAGGTTGAGGCACTTTATCGGAGACCACTGTCGGTTTAGGGTTTCAGCACTCACAGCTAGACAAGCAGGCGAGGATCCGAGCTTAGGGTTTAGGGTTTAGGGGTTTAGGGTCTAGGGTGTCCGCACAGCCCCAAACTTCATGACGCTTGGGCACCTGTCTCCAATTAGGGTGCCCCCGCAGAAGTGCATTGCCGTGCCATTGACCTGTGACGGTTGCTTGTTTCTACGACTGATCAGAAGTAGCACCTGGCTACTTTTCCCAAACCGAAGACTGCACCGAATTCGGACTTGACTTGCGCTACTCGCGGGTTTAGGTTTGCAAGGGCAGAGCCCATTCTGTTGTCTAGGTTTTTGTTGATGAGTATTTCGTCACATGAAGCTTGAGGTTTGGTTCAAGGTTCAGGGTGGCAGACCCCCAGCGCTGCAAGCCAGAGGGACCTCTAGGGGCTCTGTTTAGGATTTCGAGTTTTATGGGCGGGGTGGACTGAGGTATTCCGTTCAGCCTCAACCTCGAAGCGAATGCGACTGTCGTGTTGCCTCGTTCGGGCTGAAGGGACTAAACGTCTCTGAGTTTGAAAGATGTTGAAAGATTCCAAACAACGCCCGGGCTGAAGCCCTGAAGACTTGAATTTAAGCATGAAACTAAGCCCGAAGACCCTCAAAGCCTACACCCGAAACCAAGCTCGCATCCGACACCTTCGGACCTCTCAATCCTCAAATCGCCGCGCAATACTGGAAGACCCCCTGGACCCTGAATGTTTGCAGGTCGAAGCAGCGAGCTGACGTAGGCTGACTTGCCATCGCCACACACACTCCTGGCCAGAGCCCGAAAGAGCGATGCGAGCGAAGATCAACGGTCCGAATCCCTAAAGCCCTTGACGACAACGTGACTACAAGTCCTTCAATACTGTGGTGACTATGCAGGCCCATTTATTATCGTGTATGTACCCAGCTGGCCCTGTCGGTTATGAAGACGTAGGCGACGCTTAGTACAATTACTGATACGACGAAGACCACGACTACCACCACGACCACGGCGATGTCGTTGCGATAGATAATCTTCAGACCAGAACAAGCATGCTGCGGACATCATGGCTATGTTGCCCGCCTAGCTGCCTAGCATGCTTATGTAGGAAAAACGTGAGACCAAGAAGGTGAACAAGAAAAATGCAAAAACAAACAGAGCTGGCAAGTGTTGACAGTAGCCGTACAGCCCCAAGTGTCAACCCATGCCGGACTGCAGGCTGCAGCCTTTGCATCCACACCGTGGATGATGTGGCTTTTGCGAAGCGTGTGGCCACCGGCACGGCCTGAGAAAGAAACCGGGGTTTCGGTACACATCTCCACTCTCAACCGTAGACCCCGCGAGGGGCCCAATGAATACTAAGCTAGCTAGATCCTGAAATCTCAGACCTGGCAGGGATCGGTCAATTTTGCTGACCGAATCTTTGCAAAAGCAGGGTCAGTAGTTCGCGCTTGTCCGTAGTTTGTAGCTAGTCCCCAAAAAACATGCCCTGTTCAGGGAATTGCCAAACAGGTGGGTCTTTTCAGGCTTACATAGGGCATAAGTATAAGGTCAGTTCGGGCAGAGCCTCTGGATTTCGGCGTGAGACCTGCGAGGGGAAAGTGGAATTCAAGGGCAAAACTCAGGATTCATGTTGCCATGAATTCCTATGTGGTGTAGTCTTCGCATACAGGTGCTCTAGGCTCAAATTTTGAGGTGCCAGATTGGTACATGGAGCCTTCGGGGAAGGACCAAGGTGCTGAAGGGTGTTAAGCTGGACCTTGTTCCGTGTTCCGTGGTGCTGGTATGGAAAAAACCGAAAACGAACATCCTACTGGCCGCTATCCGTTTCTAAGCGCTTTCTAGCCTCACACCGATTTCCGAGACCTTCATCCCCCCCAAATCATCAGATCTGTAAAGCTGCCAGAGTTTCCGATCCCTACCCCCATGGCCCCCTCCCTTAACCACTCAAACCCCTTCACCCTAACTGTCTGAAACATTATAAGCCGGAAACGGCAATAATGGGCGTGTGTTGGAATATACCTCTGCTGCGCCTGCAAGGGAACAGTATTCCGATTTTTCAGAGAGCCTCTTATACTGAACGCCCTTCAATCCTGCTTGCACTCCCTGCAGGGGCCCTCAAGGGCCCCAACCACAAGACGACTCTTTGAAAGGCTCCGGGGAAGGGCCCTCCCTGCGGCGGCTCTGTGTGGGGCTTTGAAGATTTTGGGAAAGTAGCCCACTTGGAGGTTCATGGGTAGTTATAAGTGGGCTTATAAGTAGGGTAACTATAGTTATGACCTATATTAGGGGACTTATAACTCCACTTATAACTACCCATGAACCTCCAAGTAGTGGCTCTTCGGGTTTAAGTTCCACGAGGGTGTTTGTGGAGGGTTTGGAGTCCAGAACTTTTCGGTGGTTTAGGGGACGTTTTGCGGCATCTCGGAGTTCCTGGCCCTTGGTGGGTCAACTATCTACCTATAGTCTCCATTGTAGTTCCTTTTGGGGGATGCCTTATAAAATCCTTAAAAAAAATTGGTTAAACCAAAAAAGGAACTACAATGGAGACTATAGGTAAGGGCTTGGTTGTTTGTGTTTTTGGAGGGGGCGGGGGGGTTGGCGTTGGCGGCTGAGGTCTCGGGGTTTCGGGCGTTTGGGGAGCTCAGGAGCTTCAGTATAGGGGTCTTAATAACAGCAATAATAAGCAGTATCATTATTATCATCATCATCATCAGAGTAATGTTGACAACGCTAGTGATTCGAACAGGGTTTGGAGTCAAGTTCTCTTATTCAGGCATCTTTACAGCACCAGTATACCCTAAGCTGTAGAAATCCATCTTCGAGGGCTTGGGGTCTCAAGGGCTTGGAGTCGTGGGTTCCGGCTTAGGGTGTAGCGTTTGCGGTTTTAGGGATTAGGGTTCCGGTTTAGGGATTAGGGTTTTAGGGCTTGTAGGGTTTAGGGTTTTAGGGTTTAGGGTTTTTAGGGAGGGTTTAGGGTTTAGGGCTTTTAGGGTTTAGGGCTTCAGGGATTTAGGGTTTAGGGTTCCGGACTGTGTGTTTCAGTGTTGAGGGTTTCGTCCTGAACCCTACCTTGACTTCTGGACTCCAGAAGATCGAAGCATAACTTTCAGCGCAAGCTTCCCCACCCGGCTCGGCGTCAGACTGGCTCAGCTAAACTTCTCTGATCTGAGGTTCCCTCAACCCTACAGCCCTACACCCCAAAAGATCATTCCCCACTCACCGAGCAAATGGAAACAAGTCTTGGTGTCACCGTGGTTGTTATATTATGTATTATATAGATGCTGTTGCGGCAGGTCTTCCGGAGCATGTTCCGTCAAGACGCAAGGGTGTCACGTGTTCTGACTGAGGCTATTCAATCCTGATAGCCGGTCCTTGTCACAATTGAGGATCTAACATTCTAGGCTCTGTTCGGATAGCATGAACGGCCGGCTGGGTCTGCCTTCATGTAGCCCAGTTTCTGCTAATCTTCAGAAAAGCCTCAGAACCATTGCAAGTGGATCTAGCAGCTAGCAGGGAATTAGTTTGCAGCGTTTGGATATATAGGCTTTAGTTTAAGGTTCTACAGTCTCTGGTTCCTTGCAAAGCTCAAAGATCCCGACTGTATACAACTGGACGAAATACTTCTGCACGCTTGAGCCTGTGTGTGGATATACGTGTATATATATATATATTTATAAAATAATGCATTCATGTGTTTTGTTTGGTATTTACGCCTCTACAGCCCTTTTGCGATCTCGAGGACCTCTCCCCAGGCCTTGGGATGCTAAGATCTGCAAGTGCTCTGTGAAGGTAAGTGACCAAGAAGACCTCGAAAGACCACGCGACTTTTCCCAAAGTCGGACGAAAGTAGTAGCATTGGTGTTTGAAATTGCAGTAGAAGTCAGAATAGTCGTCGTCGTGGTGGCGATGGTGGCCGCTGACATAGCAAATAAATGTGTTATCTTTCATGAAGAGGAGGAGGAACTGTAGCGATCGTAGTGCCACTAGTACTGGGCAGCAAAGCAGTCCTCACGGTGCCAATTGAGCAGAACCGTAAAGACATGAGATAGCAAGCAGCCAAAAGCAACAACAATCGTCATATTAGAAATGCGTAGGCGCCATCGCCACGTCGGGTCCACGTATCAGACTTATACACTCCCCGAATACGGACTTTTACTTGCATTGCTGCAATCCTCAAACCAAGTACCTACCCAAAACTCAGGTACCTTGGACTCTGCGGCCCTTTCACATCCTCTTCGAGATCCTACTTTTCTAGCCTTATCTCGAGGATCAAGAGATTGCAGGGCCAGACATGAGGCGGGCGGGGGTGGGGGGGCATGGACTGATTTCGGCAGTCATGTGTGTCATCTTGGTGCTCCATGTCAACGCTCATATGTAAACCTCAAACTCACATTCAACCCTCAACCCTGTAAGTTACCACATAATCCCTACAACCCGGCAGGCCGGCGGAATACCCAGCAGATCCGAAAAGCCCCGGCTGCAAACCCGAATCCCTGAAGCCGTGGAAGCTCAAGGAAGAGCTCTGACACCAAACCATCTGCCTGGGTTGAGGCGGTTTGGGGCTTAGGGACCCAACCCACTGCGAACCGGACAGACGGCCGTGGACCAGAAACGGAGCCCAAATAAGCTGCACAAGTCACCGGCAATAGGCCCGGCAGCCCTCGTGCGCGGCTTGGCTTCATCAGGCGAAGCCAACAGCAGTTTACTCTTGGCAGCCAGCAGGAAAACAGCTGAAGTTCGGGCTTGTTCTGGGTATTTAAGCTTTAAGACCCATGCGTGGTCTTGCGATTGCCGTTCCGATTGGTTTCCGTCTGCAGTGTTGCGCGATAATGATGGGGTGATGTTTGACGATATTGGACATGGTGATAGAGTTACTGTTTACAGCCCCTGTTCTCATGTAGAAGGCCCACATCATAATTTAACCATCACTCCTTGAGTGGCAAGGTCGGCCGAGCACACAGCTATGACATAGACACTAAAAAGTACAGATATTGGTAGGCAGCAGTCGTTGTAGTGCTGGTACACTAAGCAAAAGCACGCAGAACAGGAACTCGAAGAGGTCGGGTTCTAGGATCTTTGGGCATTTTCCTGGAAAGTGGTTGAAAGCCCTTAATAGCCCTGAGCACCAAAAGCTCCAAAACCCTGAACCCTGGATCCCGAATCCCTAGTACCCTACTTGGGCTTAAGATGTTTGGGTTCAGAAATCAGATTTTCGTTTTTGAAGTTGCGCTTTTTCCAATCGAATTGCATTTTTTGTGCTCTTCCTTTCAACAAGAGACCCAATCAAAGTTGAAAAGCGCAATGAAAAGGGTAATACAAACAGGCTTTCCTATAGGGGCCTGTTAGTGATAAGGATAACCAAAGTCTAGCGGTGTAGCGTAACATCCGGCCAGAATTCTGTCAAGCGTCGGGTCGGGTATTGTCTAAGGTTAACGATTATAATTCGTACCCTTACATGAAGCTTACCAGTTGCAGAGCCCGTCCCACTCCCTTGGGCGGGCTGAGGCGGCCACCCGAATGATGCCGTAACCTCGACTGATGCAAGTCGCGCTTCATTTCCGGGTTTCAGGGCATCCAATTTAGGGTTTGGGCACTCACACTCGGACACTCTAGGCGAGTGTAGGGTTTAGGGCGGAGCTCTCCATGGAACGCTACAACCTCGAAAAGCAAATACAACGAAGCTGTGGCGGCAACAGTAGATGGTCGCATAGCTGCGGATCTCAAGACTTTTGGTTCTGGACCCCCGTGATGCCATAAACCCTTATGTCGGAAG